ACAATGGAAGAGCTATGATCAGTACAATTGGATGCGAACAAAGCTCACACATGAGAATAGGATGCAGTAACTCTGAAAGTATCTTCCTCACTGTGGAAGTAGCTCTCTTTCTTGACCCTGGGTCTTTGGGGTCTTATTTGTTTTCTTTGGAAGGTCCATTGGGAATCTTACAAGAAGGTTCCCAAGAAATTTCTGAGCCCTGTTCCAGGCTTACTTCTCCAGATATCTTCTAGTTACTTTAGGATGCACTGAGAAAATTGAGAAAGGTCAGTTCCTTCCTACGAAAAAGAAGATAGTCTTCTTTCAACCAACAGCTTATTTTATGAAATACCTAATATCAGGCACAGACTCCAGGGGTCATGAAATGCATAATTTGTGTATCCCAGAACTGGAAACTTTCCAAAAGTTGTGTTATTTACTAAAAGAATAACATCAAATCTGAGTTCCTGCAAAACCAGTGATCATCCAAGCAGTATTTAATGCCTTCTCTTCTGGGAAAGACAGATGTACAAAAACTTTAGTAATTACCAAATGTCAAAATAATATTGAACAGAATAAATAGTTGCCTAAATTAAGGGTCTCGTGAGGATCAGTTACAGATAAGAAGAATAACTGACAAACAAGCATGAAGAGAGGTGGGGTTTATATTTTTTTCTCTCCTCATAAATTATATGGGGAATGAACAACTCCTGCTGTGATTATAAGAATATCTAGGTCATGTCTGCTTAAAGATCTGTGGTGATAATAATAATATCCTAACATTCTGCAGTGCTTGGCATTCTCAAAGCACTTTATAAACATTAATTAGATCTTCAATAAGCAGAGACACTGTCTCATTGTTGGTTTCTCCTGTTATAGCATCACTGAGAGTCTGCAATCTTTCTAGTTTAAATATTTATTTATTTATCGCTTTTAATGCATATTTACTCCTCTGACAATGCTTTAAAATTATAATTGGCAGAACAGAAAGGTTCAGGGATCTATTTTTGCAACCAAGAAACAGGCCAGAATAACAATAGCGCTTCTCCTTGTCAGAGCGAACACAGCCCACTGGGAGCTCCTCTGTTGGCTCGTGGAATTCCTACCTACCCTCCTCCACTTCAAACAAGCCATTTCCATCCTTTCGAATTGCATCTGTTTTTCTCATCCTGTAACCCAACAGTGCCCAGCAGGGTGCTTTGTGTGTCATAGGTTTTCAATAAATGTTTGCTAGATTGAATTAAATCAAAGCTCAGCCCCCACATGTTGCAGTCATGCAGAACCCAGCACAACTCTCTAAGACCTTTCTCATTATATTGTGGAAACTCTGATTCATTTGCTGATATCACTTGTTTTTCTTTTGTCTGATTATCAGTGGACTGAGGATAGAAAGGTGGTAGAAAGATATAAATGTAAATGTGACAGTCTTCCAAGTTTCAAAAGCAAATGCACAAACATCCTTTTTATCATCAACACTTAGTGAATGCCTAATGGGTGACAGGTGCTGTTGAGTTGCTGGGAATACAAAGATCAATATGGCTGCAAGGATGGAACAGTTTTTGATTTTGGATACTGAATTGATTCTATTTAAATGTGCTACATTTTGTATGTTTATATTTTTAATTGAAATGCATTACATTTTTTCTGGGTGCTATTTGCATGGAGCCTGGAGATAACCTAGTGGTTACTCAGCAAGGCGTATTTGTCGTAACTCATCTATTAACCTGTTTCCTCTTCTCTTCTGCAAAGAAATTCTAAGATTGCTACATTCTTGGTGAGATAAAAGAGGTAGACAGCATTATTCATGATAGCCAAGACATGGAAGCAACCCAAGTGCCCATCAACTGATGAATGGATAAAGGAGATGTGGTGTATATATATATATATATATATATATATATATATATATATATACACACACACAATGGAATACTACTCAGGCATAAAAAAAGACAAAATTGTCTCACTTGCAACAACATGGATGGACCTTGAGGGTATTATGTTAAGTGAAAAAAGCCAGACAGAGAAAGATAAACACCATAATATTTCAGTCATATGTGGAAGATAAACAAACACATGGATAAAGAGAACAGATTAGTGGTTACCAGAGGGAAGACAGTCGGGGGGGTGGACACAAGGGGTGAAGGGGCACATTTATATGGTGACTGACAATAATGTACAACTGAAATTTCACAATGCTATAGACTATTATGATCTCAATAAAAATATGTATATACAAAGTATAGACATCTTTAATGTTTTCATCAAAATATGAACATTAAAATAAATATAAACAATTTTTAAGGAATTATTATTATTATTATTATTTTTAAAGATTGGCACCTACGCTAACATCTGTTGCCAATCTTTTTTTTTTCTTCTCCCCAAAGCCCGCCAGTACATAGTTGTATATTTTAGTTGTGAGTGCCTCTGGCTGTGTTATATGGGATGCTGTCTAAACATGACCTGACGAGCAGTGCCATGTCCACACCCAGGACCTGAACTGCTGAAACCCTGGGCCACTGAAGCGGAGCACAAGAACTTAACCAGTCGGCTGTGGGGCCGGCCCCTAAGGAATTATTGTTAAAATTAAATATTCAAAGTAATCTGTTAAAGTTAAAAGCAAATACAAATTATAATTATTATTAAACTTTTAAATAAAATTTTTAAAAAGCTGAAAATGCTTGTTTAATTTTTTGATATTTCATAACTCATTACACATTTTTATAAAAATTATTCACGATTACAGCATTTAACATCCATGTTTTAATTGACAAGGCATTTATGAATATTCTATTTAAAGTTACATATATGCAAATTTAGGGTAATATAAATTGTTTAATATTGCAAAATATTTCTCAGCTACCATATACAATTTCTTTGTTAGTGATTCTGGAACCATAAGCTGGAGCATGAAGAAAAGCAAAGAAATGATCGTTCATCTCTATTAGGAAACCAAATTCATTGTGAAAGAATCTATTGAGCTCATATTATCTGAGAGGATTTAACACACTATTAATTTCTTTTCCTTTTCCTCAATGCTTGTGTCTCTGAAACCCTCCTTGCATTTCTAAGTAGTGTTTGTCTCCAAGAGTGAGAATTTGAACCCATCAAAGTAAATCAAGGGAAAATTATGGGAGTCAAGTTGAAGTCCTAATGGCTGCATACATGCTTAATAAACCATCCGCTCAAAACATTAAATACTGCCAGGATCTGCAAAGACTGTGATTTATTCTCTAGCCCAAAGGTAATATTGTGCAGTTTTGGAATATAGATAACAAGGCCAAAGAGTCAAGGATGGTACTTCTATAGCACGTGATACAATCATTTATTCTCAGCTAACACCCCTCTGTTGTAAGAAGCTTTCTGAGCTTCAGTTTCTTTACCTGTAAAAGGGATAATAACTTCTCGTTCATAGTACCATTGTGAAAATTAAATGATATAACCACTATAGAAGGCCTGGCACACAGTAAGTTTTTTGAAAAACAGTAGCTATTAGTATCGACTGGCAAAGAATTATGAAAACTGGCTATATGGAATTCATTCATCAATCTAATAAATATGGATTGATCCTACCAAATGTCCTGTGGCCAGGCAGAGTGCTTGGGAGTTGAAGGCTGCTGTTTTGCATGACACTTTTGTGGGGGACGTTGACATGTACAATAGAGATATGAAAGTGCTGTGGAAGCACAAATAATGGAAGCGCTCACTTGGCTTGTGGGGTGAGGAAAGCTCCTTAGAGAAGATGTTACGTAAACTAGCAGGATGAGGAGGAGTTTCCCAGTCAAGAACGGGAAGTGCTTTGGGGTCAGAGGATTGCAAAGACATGGGCTCAAGAAAGGGTCTCCCACGTTCAAGAAAAGTGACAAGCTGGAGAGGGGCAGAAGGACCCTGTCAGGCTCTTGGACGGTTAAACTGAACTGACAAGACCCCGCTATTTGTTTGGAAGTAGACCAGAGGTGCCATGTTAATCCTCCAACAGCGCGGGTCTAACTGGCCTCGAAGAAAATTCCAGTTCTCTGAGATGTGGCACTTCTGACGCGTTGGCTTAAGAAAGCATTGATGAAAGCCCTCAGGACAGGAATGTTTGTTCGTTAGTACACACCACTTTTCTTGAAATATACCAAACTTGGGGGCAGAAGGGAAACTCTTATTCTGGACCTAAGACTCATGACTTCTAGCTTTTCGTTCCCCTATAATTTCTGTGATAGGTTGCCCTTTTCAGCAGGAGCACCCAGTGACATATTCTAAAAATTGCTGTAACCCAAAAATACAGGCTTCTTAGTTAACAACAAAACAGTGCTCAGTTCCAGAAGCAGAAAGGGAAGACGACACCATTTCTCTGCAGAAAACATATCCTCAAATCTTTTCAAGTGATGTGGAAACCAACCAAAGTATCTGATTTGAAACTTGTGAGGTTAACACCACGGCTAAAGCATCAGAGAGAATTACACGGAGAAGAAGACAAGGACCCAGCAGCTGCAGACAAATACCCTGGGACGGGCAGAACCTGACAAGGCAGAGAGCCACCACTGAAGACACCTCCCATGCTTGCGGCAGGTCTCCCAGGGAAAATAAGAGCTTTGTTGCTCCTCTGGGGGCAAGTCTCCAAGCGCAATGGTTACTGTCAACATAGTCTCATTGATGTGAGGTGGAGGAAGAGCAGGGTGTCGATAGGTGTGCAGGTGGGAATCAATACTTAGGCTCCAAGAGGGGACAAGCCTTTAAATGGCACAGAAATTAAATTCATCCTGGAATAAGCTAGTTGCAGTGTATCTAACACCGATACCTCTTCTAAACTGTGGATTCATCTACTACATAGTTTTAATAGTGACTCAATTTCATGGGAAAACATTTTTTATTTCCATTCAGTATTCTTCTTGAATTGTAATCTCTCATTGCAATCTTCCAAGATTTCACAGCTATTTAGGTAGAGTCTATGGAGAGCCTAAATTGGAAAATAGCTCTTTAACAGATTTTTTTTTAAAATAAAATGAAATCATTTCTTTTAGTCCACTCACCATTCCATGATTCAGCCACCCCGGGATAAAATTATCAAGCAACTTCGGGTAAATCATCTCTCTGTCGTAGGCATAAATGATCCAGAACACCGCTACGACGAACTGGAAGACAAAAGAAATTCCTTATTTTGAATTCACCAACTATTCACAACAGAAAATTTGTTGGTCACCTATTGTTCAAAGAACCCCAAAGAATTGCAATCTAGAATGAAGCACAATTCAGTAAACCAGCTAATTTCTGGAAAGATAGTGCTAACTTCATTCCACTGGGGTAAAGGTTGGGGTCCTTCCTCTTCCTTGATCTCCCAATTGTGTTCTCTCAGGCAAAGGCATTTGTTTGTGAGGGAGAGAGAAATGATCTGTCTGTCATCTGGAACAGCTCCCTTCCAGGGCTAATTGTGTTGGTTTGATTTCTCTCAAAAGGGTTTAAAAGTTCACTAGTGGTTTTCTGGATCCCATTCTGCACTGTACAGAGTTAGCACACATTCAAGAAGCTGTACTGTATTTTCCTTGAACCCATCATGTGGTTTAAATTAATCTCCACATTCTCAAGTTTCTATTTCACCACTAACAGCATTGAAATCACCGCTATAAAATGTCCCGAAGTCACTTTTCCAGCAAATGTATTAATTTACATGGGCTTTAGCTGCACTGAGAAGCAGAGTGCATGAGGGTAAAGGAAGATTCCTAATTCTCTTGGAATAACTTATAAGTTCATCTGGGTTCCAGAGCCTTATTTTGACCCATCAGCAGCATAATTATCAAAAAGAGAGCAGAGTACTGAATTTATTATCTTATCTTTCTTCAAACTAATGATGAGAGAAGCAGCTCAGATAAAATAAAGGAATGAATGACCCAAGGTCTTAACCTTCACTATAGGATTTAAAAGAAAAAGTCAATGCTTTTGTAAATAGTCAATAAGTGTAGCATGGAAAAGGGCACCATCCCAGAGAGAGGGATCAAAGTTTCTTTACAGTTACAGCTCAAAATAATAAATAGGACAAGGGTAAAATGTAGCATGAGTAATAAACAGAAACAATTTTTATCTCATTTCTTATAAGTCATCCATGCCCCCACATTTTATTAATAAGAATTTTTTTTTTTGAGGAAGATTAGCCCTGAGCTAACATCTGCTGCCAATCCTCCTCTTTTTGCTGAGGAAGACTGGCCCTGAGCTAACATCCGTGCCCATCTTCCTCTACTTTATATGTGGGACGCCTGCCACAGCATGGCTTGACAAGTGGTGCCATGTCTGCACCCGGAATCTGAACTGGCAAACGTGCAAACTTAACCACTGTGCCACCGGGCCGGCCCCAGTAACAAATATTTTAATGCCACTTTTTATAAACCTCCTGGTGGTTATAGGTTAAGACTAGTAGTCAAAAGGTTTCCAAAGTTCTTTTCCAAGTGTGTCAGCCATGACATGGGTAATCTTGGCCTAAAAAGAAATTCATCCTTAAAACCTAGGATGTGATGAATATTTATTGTAGATTACACACATTGTTTAATACCAGGTTGGGGTTCCCAGTTGTTTACCCTGCCTTGGGGTCAACTATTTTCAAACTCAGTTGATAAATGCACAAGATAAAAGAGACAAAAAACTATTACTAGTTTAACATTAACTATCATTAAGAATTTTCTAGGAACAATGAGTAAGTTTTGAATTATCCACAATTTTGATTTATTCATTCCACTGAGACATCAAAGGTACTGAGTATCAGTGTGACCTGCCCTCAGACCTGGGCCCCATGCTTTACAGCCTTGCTACTCAGAGTGGGTTCCATGGATCAACAGCACCCATGTTACCAGAGATCTTGTTAGATGTGCTGAATGTCGTCCAGCCTGATATGTTCTGATCTTGCCTTTTAACAAGACCCTGAGGGCATTCATTTGCACACGAAAGTTTGAGGTGTCCCGCTGTGGAAGATCCTCCTGCAGCCAGGTGGAGTCTCCTCCTCCCCATGGAGGGAGGAGATCCCAGGGCCAAGTGGTTTGTCTACCCACGGTCAGCCCCACTCCTAAACCACATCCTGGGAAACCGAGACCTGGAATTCCCTGCCCAAATAGACCCAAGTGCGCCTCAGGGCCTGTGTGGGCCTCCTTCCTGGGACTGACCAAGGAGAGCTGACTGCACAATAAATGTGTGTGTCCCTTGACCTGAGAGATGGTTAAGAGGCATCTGTTTCTGTAGGGTGGGGATCAAAGTTTTACATTTGGTCTGGGTGTCTACACACAGGCATGAAGTCTTTCAATCCTGGATGGAGCCATAGGTGGAAATCTCCGTACCTTTCCCCTATAATGTACCCTAATCATGAGAGCAATACCTCCTCATATTCACAGGTACCTTCTTTCCTCAAGGGGAAGGGATTACACAGGGCTGTGGAGCAGGGGGCAGAATCTTGGGGCCATCTGAGAATTCTGCTGACAATACGCTTCCACTCTTCTTCTTTTCCCAAATTGTTTTGGCTATTTTAAGTATTTTGCATTTCCATTTAAATTTTAGGATCTCAGCTTGTTAATTCCTACAAAAATATCCTCCTAGAATTCTGATTATGACTCTACTGAATCAATATATTCAATCTGGGGAGAAACAGCATCTTAACATTGAGTCTTCTAATCGGGAACAAAACTTATGTCTCCATTTGTTGACATCTTCTCAAACTTCTCAATGTTTGCAGTTTCCAGTGTACAGATCTTGCACATATTTTGTTAAACCTGTCACTCAGCATTTCGTGTTTTTTGTGCTACTGTGGATAGTACTAAGTTCTTTTAAGCTCTTTGTTGCCAATATACAAAAATACAACTGATTTTTGTATATTGGCATAGTATCCTGTATCTTTGCTAAATTCACTTAGTAGTTTGAGTAGTTATGCAAAAAATTACTGTAGATTTTTACATGTACATGATCTACAAATAAAGACAGTGCTTCTTCTTTACAGTTTGTATGCTTTTTGCTTCTTTTTCTCTTCTTGCTGCACCACCTGCGGCCCTGGCGCAGTGCTCACCAGAAGCGACTTAGGGTGAGCAGCCCTGCCCTCTGCCCTATCTCAGGGAAAGGGTTCAACCTTTCAACATTTAAGTTTGAGATTAGTTGCAGTTTTTCTTAGATGCCTTTTATCAAGTTGAGGAAAATCTCTCCTATTCTTAACTTAGGAAAGTAATGAATGAGTGCTGAAATTTTTCAGATGACTTTGCTACATATCTGGGGGTGATCATACAGTTTTTCTCCTTTATTTCGTTCATATGATGAATTATATCGATTGATTGTGAATGTTAAACCAACCTAATTCCTGGTCATCGTGTATCATCATTTTTATATTTTGCTGGATTCAACTTGCTGACATTTTATTAAGGATATTTTTCCATTTTTATGCATAAAGTATATCAATCTGTAGTTAGTTTTCTATTCTCATAACGTCTTTTTCTAATTTTGGTAATAGGATAATGCTGGCCTCAAAATGTAAATTGGAAAGTGCTCCCTCCTTTATTTTCTGGAGGACTTTGTGCAAGATTGGCCTTATTTCCTCCTTACCTATTTGATATACTTCTCCGGTGGAGCCATCTGGACTTGTAAGTTTCCTTTTGAGAAGATTTAACTGTGGATTCAATTTCTTTAATAGACATAGAATTTTCCAGCTTTCCATTCTTTTCTTGAGTTAGTTTTAGTCACTTTCGCCTTTTTCAGGATTTCTCCATTTCATCTAAGTTTTTGAATTTATAAGTTGTTCTTAATATTCCACTATAGAAATTGGCAAATACGACAAATCAGGTGGTTTTTCCCTGGTGAGCCTTTGTTAATTGTTTACCAGCACACCACTGTTGAGAGCTACTTTCTATTCACTAGGAGTGACCATTCATGGTGTCCCTACCACATGGAAAGCATTGTGGGATCATCCTTACTAGTGCAATTTGGTCAATCCTTTGACCCCTACCATATATTGGGGGGATTACACGGGTTATGAAAAGTGAAGTGCCTTTCAAGAAAGTGTCAGTCACCAAGTTTCTTAGCGTAACACTAGAAGGTCAAGAGGCACAGCTGAGTAATTAGTCTCCTAAATAATTCTTGAGATATAAACACCACACAGATGGTAGCTTTTTGGCTTCCTGCGCTGGTATCCTCTTGATAGTATGATCATCAGCAAACCCAAAATAAGTTTGAACTCTACGACCAGGGCACGGATATGAAACAAAAATAGGTTCTCTTGGACAGGCGAAGTGGTACTGAAACGTTCCGCTGTTGTGAAGACGCTCCTTCTCTGGCCAGCACCAATGGCCAGCTATTCCTCAGCACACACCTGCTGCTTCTCAGCTGCCAGGACCGAATACTGTACTTGAACTGAGAATGGGAGGAACACAGTCACTTCCCAGTCCTTCCAGCCTCCCAGAAAGAATTCTTGTGTTACAGCTAGCCATGGGGGCCTCATCTGAACCCCCAGAACTATTAGAAATGAATGCAAAAGAAAACCAGATTCACACTTTGTCTCTTTTTGTAAGGAGTCTCTCATGGAGTCCAGTAGAAGCTGAAGCTAATCAGCTTTAGTCCACTTCTAAGAAGACGCTCTACTGATTAATGAGAAAATCTTTGGAATTTAGTAAAAATGGATTAGAACGCAAAGGACGTCACAGAGAAGTCTGCCATGAAGGAGGCTAAAGATAAAAGTCACTTATCTATAGAGTTGCCTATAAAGGCCGTTTGGCATTATCTCAAACACCCACTATTGAAGGAGGAAAGGAAGGAGAAAGGGAGGGAAGGAGGAAATTAATGAATACATCTTGAAAGTCTTTAGTTTCAACATAACATGATTCCTACAAAATTGCTTCCCCTTTTAAAACGAATCTATTATAATGTACCCAGACTTTACCAAATACTGACTGAAATCATTTAAGTTCTGTTCTGAGCTCTATTCCTTTGCTTCCAGATTCCTTTTCATGATTTGCTTTCCCATCAATTCTTTCCATGGTCATATTGTTGCTGAGAGGTAATGTTTAGACATGTTTCCCGTGTAATTTCTCTTTCCAAGCACATGGAGCCTGAGAAGAAGCTATGTGTTCTGGATGTGTTCTGGCTTTGTCTGATGGCCTCCATGCAAAGAGTGGAAGTC